TTTTTTTTTTTAAAGATTTTATTTATTTATTCGACAGAGAGAGTGAGAGAGTACAAGCAGGGAGGAGTAGTAGAGGGAGAGAGAGAAGCAGGCTTCCCGCTGAGTAGGGAGCCTGACGCAGGGCTCCATCCCAAGACCCTGAGATCATGACCTGAGCCGAAGGCAGACACAACCATCTGAGCCACCTAGGCGCCCCTAGAGACTGAGTAGTTTTAACTTAAGCATAGTTAGTTATCACTCCAGTCAAAAAGTGAATGAACCTGGACATCTAGTTTAGTGATCTAGGGTGTCTCTTTAAGCTGGGTAGAATTAAAAAGAAACAGGAAAGTTTTAACTTAGACTACGTCTGTATTAGAATAAAAACAGTGATAATAACTCCTGAATTCTGGTTCTGGGTTGTGCTACTTATGATGTCATGTCTTTTACAGACTTTTAGTGCAAATTTTAACTTCATAGTATTTCATTTTCTCCACGTTACCATATGTAAAATGTTAATCCTAAACCATGGGGTGCTATGAAAATTAATTAGTATTCACATAATAGGTTTAGAGTAGTACGTGCCGAAAAATGTCAAATGAGTCATTACTATCCTTTTTTCTCCACATTTAATGAAGCAAACAAGTGTTTTGAGTATAAGGACAACTGCCTGGTTGTTAAATGTGTTTTAAAACTTTCTTATTTCTAGAGGGAAGGGCAACATGCCCTTATCAAGATATTTGGATAGGAGATCAATATGTAATTTTCACCAGCTTGTTCTTTAGTCCTATGACTATTATGGAGATGAAAATACATATCTATATATGAACTAAAGAGGAAAGATGGAATATAACACACAAAATATTCATAGCAAATATATGTGCTGAGTATAGAGCAAACTAAGATACATTAGAATACCAGGACTGATATCTTGAAGGAACAATCAAAATTCAAAAACAAATGAAAATATGAAGTATTTGAGATGCCCTGAAATATATTTTTAGGACTGCTTCTCTTTATTTTGCTATCTTTTTAAAAATATAAAAACAACCTTCAAAGTATAGCTTATACTCCAAAGCCAAGGAGACATAGTTCAAGACAGCTTTCTCACCTACCAGCTCTGTAGAAATGGACACATTATATAACTTAACTTCTCTAAGCCTTTGTTCCTTATCTATGAAATCAAGGTAATAATCCCATTTCACAAGATTGTTGTGAGGATTAAATAAAATGTGGAATCAAAAGTATTTAGCATAGTTCCATGATTGGCACATATTTTTAGTTCTTAAAAAATGTTAAAATATATATGTATATATAATATATGAGATAGGGTAAATGCTTTTGTTTATAAGTGAAGGAGATACACTATTTTCACAGAGATTGTGCTTTTGGAGGAGGGTATTATGAGACTTTATTTAAAAGATATTTAGGGGCGCCTGGGTGGCTCAGTCGTTAAGCTTCTGCCTTCGGCTCAGGTCATGATCCCATGGTCCTGGGATCGAGCCCTGCATTGGGTTCCCTGCTCAGCGGGAAGCCTGCTTCTCCCTCTCCCACTCCCCCTGCTTGTGTTCCCTCTCTCACTGTCTCTCTTTCTCTGTCAAATAAATACATAAAATCTTTTTTAAAAAAGATATTTAAAAGATTGCTGTTTAAATGAAGGTATTTACTGTCTCTGGGTTGGCAGTGAAACAAAAAAGCACAGGCAACAGTGTAAGTTCTATGTTCTTCAAGGTCAACTGAAATGAGGACATCACACTGTTCTCACTGAGGCACCAAGCCTATTTTGTGTCTTGCATTTAAGATCAGTGATTGCAGCTATAATCCAGCCCAATAGAGTCCTTAGAGGCAAAAAGACTGCAAGTAAGCACTTTGGTGGAGTTTCATGGACAACTTTGCTGTGCTTCTGCAACCTTCAGTTGATTCAGGACATGCCAGGATTAGAATCACTGAGGCACATCGGACTGAGTGGATTTTATGATGAGTACAACTTGAATGCTATAGTGGGAACATCAATCACTCTTTGCATGAGACTCCAATTTTCAGAAATGGAAGGTAGAAAATGAGGTTATTATAAGAATGAAGGGGACCTGCTTTTTTTTTTTTTTTTTTTTTCCCTAGCAAGAGAAATTCATGCTGGATTTAAAGAAGAACTTCTTCAATGCATGAGTGGTTGGATATTTACACTGGAAGATGTGGACTCTCTTTGAAGGGAGAATTTAAAATATATTTCAAAGTCATTTTTTAAGTGATCCAGGAACTACTTAGAAACAATTGGATTAACTGGTTTTCTGCCTTTTTTCTTTAGTTTTTTTTTTTTCAATGTTTAGTTCATGATGTTATGGAACACTTTATATAATTATATAATTTTAATACCATCATTATCATTCTATTATTTTCTGAAATATTTATCAATTTGTTTATTAAAGAAATTTAAAAAGTATTAGTATTAATGAAGCAGAATATTGTTTGCATATTCTGAACATCACAGTTTACTATTTTGTATGTAACTATTAACGAATTCTGTCTGCTTTATTTTTAAGGGGTGAATAAAGGCATTTACTTTAGCTATCCATGTCGACGTCAAAGCTGTGCTTTAGTAAACATCCCAGCACCATGTGTCAACAAAATGATTTCACACATTGAAGATTTGGAATCTAAAATACAAGAGCATTTGAAACGGGTAAGATTTAAAATGCTAACATTTTTGTAAACTCTATAGAGACTGTAAGGGCTGTTATTTATAGAGCTCAGGGAGTTTTTTTAATGATATTGGAATATTTTATAGAATTTTTGCTCAGTTGTGTAATTTACTAATCTAGACATGTTTTTGATAGTCTCACTTCATAAAGGTGAAACGACCTTACTAAATAGATTTTTTCCCTACCTCTTTGTTCCTTATCCGGAAGCAATCATGCTAAGTAGTAATTTCCATAAGCCACTTGACTAGTAAATTAAATAGTATTTACATTGTTTTTAGGGACACTAAACTGATTAGATGATTAGATGAGTAAATTGGTGTGTAGAAGGACAGCGTGCCCTTTTTAATGAGTTATTTTGTTCTAAAGAAATGCTTAATAGGTCTGTTGAAAGAGAATGTAATGATTCTTTCTTTTTAACCTGTTTGCCTTTATTATTCTTAAGGGACTTCAATCTTGAAATCACTGTAACTTTCGGTTATCTTCAGATGATTTAGGAATGATAAATACCTTCTCATACCTTTTATTAAGATTATTCTGAACAATTAGTGCAAAATTAGATTGCCCAAGCAGGAGGATGAGTTTGTGCTATTTCGCTTCCCTCACCACCGTTACTGGATCTGGCTCTGAGAAAGTTCTGATGGAGCAGTCATGATGCTTGATGTAGGGTGATGTCTCCTTCAAGAGGCATTAGAGTTCAGTCCTTAAAATTGCAGACTTTAGAGCCACATGTTCTGTGACCTTAGATAAAAATGGAGGTAATGACATTGTGTTGGACAAAATGCCAGCATATGATATGCACTCAATATATATTAGCTATTGTTATTTCTATAATATTATCATTTTATATTAGTATTATATTTATTTGTATTTATTATATTTATTTTTGTTCCTTCTTTGTTTCTCCAAATCAGCATACCTTTTCAGAAAATGCTTTGTGTGTCATAGGTCTGATAGTGTCCTGGGCTTTGAGAAATACTATTAAGTAGATAGAAGAGAATTAATCTTTATTGATATGATATGCTGTATACTTCACATGTTTTTTAATTAATGATTAGGCTTTTTTTAAATAATGAAAATAGATTTACAGGTGTTTTAATAATTCCAATAGCTGTGATTATAATAGCTATAGTATAATAGCTGTATTAATAATTATAATTGCTCAAAACTATTTTTAAATGGTTATTCTTTTTTTTCTTAAAGATTTTATTTATTCATTTGACACCGAGAGAGAGAACCCACAAGCAGGGGGAGTGGGAGAGGGAGAAGCAGGCTCCTGGCTGAGCAGGGAGCCCGATGCGGGGCTCTATCCCAGGACCCTGGGATCATGACCTGAGCCGAAGGCAGACGTTTAACCAACTGAGCCACCCAGGTGCCCCTTAAATGGTTATTCTTTTATCTAATTGATAGATGGGGAAATAACAATTTAAACAGTTGAGAAACTTGTCCAAGATCACAAGACAGAATTGGGATTTGAACCCACTGTCTGTTATCAAAAACCATGTTTTTTACGCAATCCCACTTGGGATTCTGAGCAGCTGATAAACTGTTAAACACTATGGATAATAGGCCAGCTAAAAGATTACCTTAGATGAAATAATTCACAAAGTAAACAGATATTTTATAGCTTATCTTCAGGAAAACTGAAAAAAAGAGCATTTCTTATGTAAATATGTTATGAAAATGAGCCAGCTGAATAAATAAAAAGGCCTTATAAAGACCAGGATCTTGGGGCGCCTGGGTGGCTCAGTCGGTTAAATGTCTGCCTTCGGCTCAGGTCATGATCCCAGGGTCCTGGGATCGAGCCCCGTATCAGGCTCCCTGCTCAGCGGGAAGCCTGCTTCTCCCTCTCCCACTCCCCCTGCTTGTGCTATCACTAGCACGAGTGTGCTCTCTCAAGTAAATTTAAAAAATTAAAAAAAAAAAAAAAAAAAGACCAGCATCAGAGTGACTTGCTTTTTGCTGTCTTCTGGTGCTTAGCTTAGAGCCTGATACATAGTAGGTGCTCAATAAATGTCTGTTGAATGGAAAAAAAATGAGGACCTGAAGCAGAACCTTTCTTTTCTAGATACATCTGAGACACCTATCCACCCAATACAGGAAAGAGCTACCATTTACCAAGCATCTATGATTTTCTAGGGGCGTCTGGGTGGCGCAGTTGGTTAAGCATCTGACTTGGTTTCACCTCAGGTCCTGATCTCAGGGTCCTGAGATCTAGCCCCATGTTGGGCTCTATGCTCAGCGCAGTGTCTGCTTGAGATTCTCTCTCTCCCTCTGCCTCTGCCGCTACCCCCTGCGCCTGCAATCTCTCTCTTTCCCTCTCAAATAAAAAATCTTTAAAAAAAAGTAAAAAAACAAAAACATCTGCTATTTTCTAGTCACTTACCAAATATATATTTCTGTTTTTGTACCTCACAGGAATCCTATTTTATTGGTAAAAATTCTAATATTCAGGGATGTCCAATAATTTATACATCATCATACAGGTAGTAAGCATTAGAGTTAGAATTTGAATCGAGTTCCTTCTGACACCAAATCCCCTTTCAGTTTTTATTTTGTAATCCTTAAGGGCAAGAGAAGGCCTTAATTCTCACATTGACATGGAATGTTAGTTAGTACTTTGACAACATGAAGTACACAAATAACAATGTCAGATAAATACACTTCTAGACAAAAACTGTAATAATGATAATAATGTGTTAACAAGTAAATATACACATAAACATTATTTGAAAGATTGTGAAATGAATGCTCATAACTTTAAAAAAAAAAATTCAGGACTTATTTTAGGCTTTTTCTACTTTCTAAATTTAAAAAAAATGTTATTTTATTTTGACTACATATTTGGTAGTTAGATTTGCTAGTGTTGAACTGATAAAAGAGTATAGTTATAGAGTATATTTATTTATGTTTCTTATGCTATATTTTTTGTTTAGGTCACCACAACTATTCAACTATTGATTAGACATTTAATTATATTTGAATTAATATTTTGGGAATGAAATGGTAGCCACCTATCTTATTTAAAGATGAATATTTTTTTTTCTCTGACTAACCTACCAAAATGAAAAGAACTTTAAAATATTACTTGGAAAAATGAACTTTTAGTAGTATTGGTTAGACAACTTTATATTCATAGTCTTTATTGAAAATTTTTTTTCTTTTTTCTTTTTTTAATTTTATTTTATTATGTTATGTTAATCACCATACATTACATCATTAGTTTTTGATGTAGAGTTCCATGAACCATTATTTGCATGTAACACCCAGTGCTCCATTCAATACATGCCCTCTTTAATACCCATCACCAGGCTAACCCATCCCCCTCCCCTCTAGAACCCTCAGTTTGTTTCTCA